TCACTAGTGTAAGAATCTGAAAGAGTGAATAAAAATTAGGAGGTATGATAGACATTGTGAAACAAAAAGAAAATGCTAAAAAGAAAAGAGCAATTGGAGTGAGGGAAAAGAGCAAAGAAAGAAGGGGAAATTATGCATGTATGTATGTATATACAGGATAGCTAACATAAATGTCCTACTGACTTCTATCACTTTACTGAAAGTAACAGTTAATCATTACCTATTTGTTCAATCTTGTATGTCTGCATATGTTTCCCTGAGAAACTACTTTGAATATATCAATATGTAATACAGCAACCATTGTTAATTTTCTACCACTTTGTCTGTAACTCTGTATTGTTTGTATTGTCCTTACGCTATTTTGTAAATGGATATCTGTTTGTTAATATGTTTTATTTCTTTCATTTTTAAAATGAATTTTAAAAATTTTTTTATGTTCTGATCAATTTTGCATGTTTGTATCTGGTAATCTGGGCAGCTGATTTGAAGGTAACAATATGCAGCGGAATTACCATGATGAATTCCTACCACCTTGTCTAGTGAAACTCTGTATTATCTCTGATGATTTATCTAATAATTACTTTCTTATTCTCTTTAATGGTTTGAACAATCTTCCATTCTTACATCAGGTAATCTGAGCAATGTAGTGAGGATAGTGATATGTAATATTACAACCACTGTTAATTCATACTATTTTGTCTTGAAACCCTGTATCACTTTAAATGTTCTTGCTTTGCTTTGTTTATGTTTGTGGTACTAGTATGCTGCTATTCTATTTTTTGTTTGTGTCCCATTTACTACTCTCTTTAATATAAAAAAAAAAGAAATAATGACAATGCTGGAGAAAGTTTAGGCATTGTCTTGTCCAGTTACTGGAATAATATTATTTAAGAATGGATCATATGCTTTAAAAATGTATTTCCCGTACTCATTGGCCTGAATCTCTTCTATGTTAAACCATTAATCTCATTTTTACCTGGAGTCTGGTTTGGGGGAAAATCTCTTTGTTCTTCCATCCATAGGATTTCTCTTTCATCTCTGTTAAAAATTACATCTGGTTTGCAGTATTCTTGTCCTATTCAGAAGAAAGTATCAAGGTGGATTATAAAGGTCATGGGAATAAATAACTGCATCATGACAAAGTCTAATGAAGTCTTCCTAGAATAAATAAGATGACTGTAAACAAAAAGCCTAGGCAAACAGTTTGGAAATCAATCTAGAGATTCTTCAAAAAATTAGAATTGGAAGTCCCATTTAATCCAGCCATTCCCCTTCTGGATATTTTACCAGAAGAATTAAAATCATCATACTACAGCTATATAAGTGCAAACATGAGCAGTGTAGCATAATTCCTCATAGCAAAATTTTGGAAAGAACCCAGATGCCCATCAACTGAGGAGTGGATAAGAAAAATGTAATATTTTTATGCAATGAAATATTACTCAGCTACAAAGAAAGATAACCTAGAGGATTTATAGGTAACTGGATGCAATTAGAGACCATATGAATAAGTGAAATAAACCAGATCTGCATATGTGAATACTGTATTGTCTCCCTAGTGTAACAACGTGAAAAAGTAAATAATATTGAAAGATACAATAGATATTGTGAAAGAGAAAGAAACTGCTTAATAGCAAGGAACAACTGGGCGAGGGAAAGAAGGAAAGAAAGAAGGAAGCAAGATCTATATAGATATAGATATTGCTAAGATAATTGTACTACTAATTTCTATTGGTTTATTGAAAGGAATATTTAATGTTTAATTGTTTCATGAATTTTGCATACCTATATCTGGTAATCTGAGCAACTACTCAGAAGCTAATAAGTAGTACATTTACTATCATCTTGCTTTGAAATTCTGTATCATATTTATAGTTTTTTTGTCATTTTGTTTTTGTTATTTTGAGTTTGCTGAAGACACTTGTGCTCCTCTGTGAATTTAAAGAAAATATAGAATTATCAGTCTTTCTAAAAGGATAAACTTGAACCATCTGTGACAAAATGAATGAACTATGAGACAAAAGCTAAGAAGAAATAAGTCAGACAGACAAGCTTAAATATCGCATGAATTTTGTTCTTCTTTTAGAAAAGCAAAATATAAATAAAGATGAAAACAGGATAATGGGAAACAGGAAGATACATCTTTTGCAAAAATTAGTGGGAACACAAAGTTTAGGATGGGAGGAGAGAAGAGAGGGATGGGAAAGGAAAATAAAGATTTGACATGAGTTTTATACATGCACCAACTCTCCACAGGAATGGAATCATGCACTGCAACTGTACTGCTAAAATGCAAAAGTACAAAGAGCTGAGGATGGGCTCTAAGAGTGTGTTCACAAGGAAAGACGTGATCACCTCCGTGGTACAGTGAATATAACTTAAAATAGCCTAAAATAAAATCGGCTCAATTATTCACAGTCATTTTATTTTCATGAGCCTCATCATAATGATCAGAAAATAACAATAATTTATATAATATCTGATATATTTACAAAGTCCATAAAGTTAAATTCCAGATTTGCTCAGCATTTGGAGATTGTACTACGTTACACGATGAAATGATTTGAAAGACCATATTAGAGGGCGCATTCTATATAAATATAAATGAAATTATCTTTGACATAGCTGTCATGTCTAAGAATGAAGCACAGCAGAGATTGGAGGGAATAAGGAGCATGCACTCTAGACAATGACAGAATGGTTACACATAGGGTTGAAGGTAGGTTTATTCATAGGCAGACCGACACTGGAATAAAAAAGACTCACCAAGAGATACCAGGTGACTGATGTTTTCCAGCATCACGTCTCTATACAGCTTTCGCTGTGGTGTGTCCAGCAGGGCCCATTCATCTGGGGTGAATTTTATGGTCACATCTTCAATGGTGATTGATTCCTACAACACCATGCACATTTCAGGTTAGACAGAGAAGTAGTGAAAACGTCTTAGTAAGTGAACTGAGAAGACAGTACTGAAGTAGAGGAGAAACAGCACATACGGAGATGTCAAGCTGTTTGGGGCAATAGCCCATTCACTGTCAGCACCAGACTGGGACCTAACTTCAGAGACCCGCCCTGAGGGACAAATACCATAAACTCATATACTTATTATTGCAGTTTCACAGGAAACTTTGTTTAGAAAATGTGTCAGATTCTAATAAATGTGTTATACATTCTTTCTGCACATGATAGTGAAAAACTTAGCCTTGAAATAATCAAACAAAAAGCTGTATCTTAGTTACTGTAAGGAATTTTAAATATAAATCACAGTGGAAACCATTACATTGTTTTGCCATTTGTATACCATGGTTATTGTTCATTCATTTCCACGCATCTATCTGATATTCCTCATCTATTAAGTGCTCTTATATTGTGTTGTGAATTTTGAAAGATCCAATATTATCCCTATCTGAAAAACAGATATTGTAAATTACACTTATATGATTTGTAAAATGCAAGGAACACTGCAGGCTATCGATTCCGTCTCTGAGAATGGGATAATTTCCCTATCATAACTTCAGTGGTTGTATTCTATCTTCACTCCACACCACTTAACTGAGGAGAATAATTCATTGATACAGACTCTGAAGCAGGAATGGGAAATGCTACTATAACTTTTACCCTGAGGACAAGCTGAACATTCCTGATCTCTGGACATGCTCAGGAGTTTCTAGAATTTCAAAACATTACCCTGACATTTTCATCCTATCTTTGGACACCATCCACCTCTTTACTTCTTAACAAACCCTGCTTCAGGTACTGTATATCCAGTTCTGTAAAAAATTATCAGTGTGATTCTACAGCTGAATAAAAAATTGAGGGTTGATGTTATATCTCAGTGGTACAAGTGCATGCCTGCCTGCAAGTGCAAGGTCCTGAGTTCGATTCCAGGTACAAAAAGAAGCAGCAAATAAAAATTGAATCATTTGTAAGGAAATAGATTAACCTTATGAAGATAGTACTCATTGAAATAAACTGGACAGAAAGATTAAATATCATCAGAGTGATCATACATGATAATCTCCACATAAAAATAAAATGAAATTAAAAGACAGATGATGAGAAATAGGAGATACTTGGTTCAAAAATTCAGGAGGACCGAGAGAAGAGGGAGAGGAAACGGGGTGGGAGAAGATACTGAAAATATGCAGGTGTCTCACAGACATGTATAAACTGCACACAAGGAATGTACTCATTATGTACTGCAAATGTAACCACAAAAATTTTATTAAAATTACCCATATCTTCCATTGTCTCATTTTCATTTTTCTTCTCTTTCCTTATGTGTCTACCATCAAGTAAGTTAGTGACCACATTGATGAATGCTATCCATCTATCAGATATAAAATTTGGTTAATTGTCCTTTTTTAATCACAATACTACCCCAAAGTTTCCCTCCTTCAGTCTTCTTTCAATATTTTAATGTTTTTACTGGGGTTCTTAAAAAAAATATTGTTCAACACAAAACTCTCGTTACCTTGCTAGCTTTTACAAAAGAAATTTAAAACGTGTGTGCAGCAATCCCAGTGGACATTTTGCCAAGGTTATGTAAGCAGCAGTTTGCAGGACTAATAATTGTCTGGAAATAATCACTTCTATTTTGAGAATATACTGTAATTGCAAAAGCCAAAAATAACTTGTGTTAATCTCTCAGTGTCTCAATAAATGAGTGTTAAAACATTTGTACATGGTATGTTTTTTCTAAAATCATGAATATGTACTTTGGTGAGCTCTGTATAAATAGGTGTGCCTGATTTATTTTACTTAACATTCTGATCTCAGTGTGCATCTGATATCCCCCAAATGGCTAAAGCTTATTTTTCATTTTGGCAGCATAGTACTTTTTATGTGTATCTTTTAAAGATAGTTTTGAGTAAAAAGATAAGTTTTCTCAAACTTTAAGACATGTTAGCTTATAAATGATTTCTCATTCCATGTCTTCCTAAAGTGTTTTAATTACCCTTTAGCAGTACACAGACCTCTTTAGAAATCTTTTCCAGGCTGTAGATCCAACCAGGTGATGAATTAGGTTGCAATGTTTTGCTAATGCTTTTCTCCTCCTGGCCCTGCCCTCCCAGCAGTGCTAACAGCATTATGGTGAGCAGCACAGGAAATGAGACAATTCGTCCAAACTATTCCGTGAGCTGAATACGAGGAGAAAATATTTTATATGCTTTTTGTACTGACAAAAACATTGTGTGGATGAATATACACACTCAAACAAATAAGAAATTGCACACATTCATATATACATACACATATCTGATGGAGACCACTATGAAGGAGCCCTGAGTCGGACTTAAATTAACAGAAGGGCCTTCCATGTGAGTCTGTCCAAGGCCTGGGCTCTTTGTCTGAGCTGACTCATAGTAAATGAAACTCTAAAAGTCACTGATCCCTGCTAAGTCATGTATGGGCAGAGAAAACTGGGAAGCCTCAAAAGATGAGACAAGATCACTGACAAGGACACCTGGGTCTGATCTCAACTAGACAAGGGCTATAGCCCCAGGGCTCTCATTCCTGGGTGGATTGACTTAATCCTCATTAAGGATCAGTTTAATACCTTACTTGGAGAAGTCCTTCAGTAATTTCATCCCTCTTGAGTACTCCCCTCCCTTCTCCTGATGAGCAAATATGTACAGGCCACCCAGAGAAGGTTTTGGTCTTAGCCCCGAGAGAATCTCAAATTCTATGAGAGGGCTTTGATCCTCCTGCAGCCCTGAAATCATTCCATTTCCTCATTTTATTTAGCCTTCACTGTACACTCATTCTGGAGTTTGCTGACATTATCAGCCTGTAATTACTAAGGGAAAATATTACCGGATACATATACATATACATGTACATGAGCATATATTAGATACTAATGATCTTCAGAACTATGATTACTCCCTCACTGTTTAGAAAAAGCAAATGAGTTTAGGTGCCTTAATACCTCTTACTTGCACTTAATGCTTTGTACCTTCTCTCAGTAGGATTGTGAATTTGGTATAAAATTTTTTCTTACTCACCACTGGATGTGTTTCCATTCTCAGCTCCCTGGAGGTGTTCACTTACATGGAGATGAGATAAAAGCATCAAAATTTGTGGAGAGGATTTCAGACTTCTTGGGAGATGGTAGAACAGTAGGCAGCATCAAATCTGTATCTCCAAGCTTTGGAATAAAGACACTGGAAAATACCAATTTCAGGAGTGTTATAAACTAAATGACACTAGCCCCAACCTTATGTCCAAAAAGCTGGTTCACCATTAATTTCTTTGGAATTGCAAATCCCACATGAGCACTCCACTCTGATTGTACTGCTGGATTATTGATGATTACCTGACACTGATCCAGGCTCTGACAGCCTCTTTTTTCTAAGTGTGACACCAGAGTCATGCTTGAATTAGACATTGTCACAAACTGTAGACTGGGAAACATAACCACAGGCTTGAAATCACAAAGAAATTTCCTTTTCCTTCTTTGCTTTTGGGGATCTTTAAAAATTGTTTGTTGTTTATCAAGTTGTTTCTTCTTGTGAGCGTGAACATTGTTTTTAGGGATTTTTTTTAAGTTCTTGTGTTTGTTATTTCTTCTTTCCTTCTCTCCTGTCTTCTCCACAAGTCTACTGAGGATGATTTTTGTTTTGCCTCAAATGAGCTTCTAAACTTCTTATTTATTTGTTTATTATTTCCTCTTGTCAATTTAAATTTTCCTCCATTTATTTGCATTTGTTTTACTCTCTGTATAATATTTTTTGCCTTTCTTATCTCGCTGCTTTTTAAAAACTTTATCAGTCCAGACATTTCTTATAGTTTTTCCAAATTCATGAACATCTTTCTACTCCCTAAAGAGATCCTTTGCACCAACACTTTCTTCACATTCTCTTGTCATTGATTTAAAATTTCTGAATTTTCCTTTTGCATCCTAATTTCCAAACCTTAAATTTTAATAGCATACTCAAAAAACTTTATGAAGCTTTGATATTTACCTCTTTAAAATTTCTATTGAATTTTTCACTACCATTAGCAGAGAAAGATTTGCTGCATGTAGTTTACATTAGCTGTAAGTCAATATCCAGTTTGGTTTTATATTTCACTATACTTTTTAGCTTCTCTTCTAGGATTAAAAGTTCTGCAGGACTAGTTTTTATGGCATGGCAATGTCTATTTTCTCTTGGGTGATACTACTGTCTGTGTTTGACATGATATTAAAAGAGTCACATGATTGTCATTATTTCTGTATAAGCCAATATTCAGAAAACCTTTCTGACATTAACAATAGTAGAATCTGATTCCTGAGAAAATAGTTTGGTGCTAAATACACTGCATCCTCTGTTCCCAAAATAAACAAGTTGTTGAATATAGGGGCCATGGGAAAGACTATAGCTAGTGACAGCCACAGAACATCACTGCAAAGCAAGTACAACATGAAAAAACAACCAAGATGATTTGTATAAAGCAGCAAATTTGTTACATTAGAAGCATCTATAAACATGAAAATAAACCAATCCCCCAAAACAAAATTAAGTTGAAAAAAAGGATTCAAGTTCTTCAAAAACCCAAAGTCTGCTAAAGCCATTCCAATGGGCTCCAACATGCAGAATTGTACATTAGTACCTAAGATTAAGAGCTTAAATTCCCTTACAATTTTGGGGACAAAGACTGAATTTCTTATGTGGTAAGATGGTTGTGGTCATTTCTGTCACCTGATGTTGAGTTTGCAAATAAAAGAACAATTTTGGCAAATGCTTTTCTTTGTGAAACCTATATGGTGCAAACAGAAGAGGTTAAGAATGAAGGTATTACTGTATCAGCCATACCCATGAATTACTACAAAGTATGGGAGGTGGTTAGGAAAAAACTCAAGGAGATACTCAGCAACATTAAAGAAGACCTCACTAAACATATAATGGATGTAATAAGAAAACAGGTGTTGGACCGCTCAGAAGACGTTAATAGTGGCTGGATGAACTAAGTAAAATGATACAAAGCGTGAATGACAAGTACACCATAAAATTGAAGTGCATTTTAAAATTAGGAATCCAGGAGAATTGCCCACCAGGAAAGCAAAGGGCGCTGAGTTCCATTCCCAGTACAAAGAAGGAAAGAGAGAGACAGAGAAATCCAGGATTTTAAAACACATAATGAGAGTAAAGGATGCAGCAGAGGTGAATGTGAGGAAAAACGTTCACAACTAACATACAGTGATGCTTTTGACAACCAAGGACATTGAAACACCTTACAAACAGCAAGATGATGTGGAAAAATTGATCCAAGAACTGCAAGACTATACGAGGAAGACTCATTAAATAATAAATAAAATATGTGGAAAAAAAAGAAGTCAATATAAATGGCATAAAAAAGCTTGTTCACAGGAATAACGGCAGAAAACTCCCCAAATACAGAGATAGAAATAAACATACAGAAAATTGAGGTACATAGATGACCAAACAGAGAAAAAGAGAAGCACCACTTGCAACTTAATACTTCAAATTCAGAAATGCATCACAGGGACAAAATCTTAATAGACTTTTGTGAATTCAACAAGTCAAATACACAGCTTAGCCAATTAGAAACCCAGCTGACTTCTCTGCAGAAACTTCAAAAGCCAAGAAGTTTTGGAGTGACATGTTTCAAGCCTTAAAAGAAATCAACTTCCAATCACAACTTATCTATCCTTCCAAAATTTCCCTTAAACTTGATGGAGAATTAAGATATTTTCATGACAAGGAACACTTCCCTAAATGAACAAGCTCCAAATGAGCATTGCAAAAGTTTGTCAAGGATATCATAGAAAGAGATAATGAAGCCAAAAATGTCAACAAGTAAAAAAAATATAAATGCACCTCATGGGATGAGTAGCTAAGCAAATGAGGAAAAATAAAGGAGTCAGCAACAGGAAAGTAATGAATTGAGAGGAGTAAGTTAATAGATCAGTAATAAAACTTGGAATAATTGCCATCAAGTCCCCAGTCAATACACACACTGATAGCTTGGATCATGATGCATACCAATGTGCACCATATAAGAAGCACATTTAATGAAAAACTATACAGACTAATACTCACACAATGTAAACAACATTCCCTAGAATGTGAACCTACAATAAAACAAGACTTCCTAGTCTAATTACAGACAAAATGATTTCAGTGAAACTGATCAACAAGGACAAAAAATTTAGTACATACCAGTTAAGAGACAAATTCAAGAAGAAGAGATAACAGTTGTAAACACATATTCACCAGATACCACTGGACCCAATTCATAAAACAAAAAATAATTGACATGAAAACTGACACAAATACCAATATGATGTTAATGGGGAATTCAATACTCCAGTGTCACAAATGGACAGATGAACTAGAAAATATTTTAACTAAGAAATGTTAAAGTTGAAATATACCTTTGAAAAAGTGAATTTAATATACATTTGCAGAGTGTTGCACCTAGGAATAAAAAATTCATCTACTTCTCAGCAGCACGAGACATTCTCCAGTGTGGGTCATCCATGTTTTACATGTTCTTGTGCTATTAATGTAGTTTTCAATCTGTACATATGATAATTAACTTTATAAGATCTTATGTGACAAATAAATGAATCTAACGCTTGATAAATGGGGGTACAACAAGGGAGAAAAAGAACTTGAAGTGTGTTACACAGATACACACATCCCCTACAGTAAATGTAAGCATCATGTATTGAAACATGTGCTAATAAAATTGCAAATAGATCTGTCAACAGAACAAAACTCCTAAGAAACCAGTTGTGACCAATTTCTGAATTCACTTGCGAGGAAGTCCAATACATTCACAGATGTGTGATCCCACTTACATGTGAAAGAAAAAAGTAGTCCATTGAGATGAAAAGTTATGGTGTTCTCACTTATCAGATGTAATATTTATAAGAGTATGGTTTTGCTGTAACTAAATATTTTACAAATTCAGCTGTTTTGTAGGTAAAAACATAAAAGGCAGGGTTGAAGTATTCATTATCCTTTGCTGTTCAGTGCTGGTCAGTTCCCTCTTTCATTAATAGTGATCTTTCAGGAATCACACGTGGAATTTGATTTCCATCTGTTGTTAAATGTGACAGAATTTCTCCACTGTGTGTAGTTTTCTCTCAGTTTCTAGTGCTTGTTCTCAAGTCTCCATCCTATCTCCACTTTGCCTCATTGGCTTCCTTCAAACAAGAAGTAGCGCTATTTCTCATGCACTTGGAAATCATCAGGTTCAGGTACTTTATCAATGCACGTATCAACACAAAGCACTATGTCTCCTGAAGGGCTCGGCCACTAACATCAGTGCTGTCAATCTGGTCTTTGTAATGTCTTCCTTCAGATAGTAACAGAAGCCCATGTGCTCATTCTGATGTCATGTATTGTCACAAAAAATTAGAACAAACTTGCTTGGAAGCTATGCTCATGAAAATTATTGTAGATGGGGCATAAGTATATTTATTCCACTGAATAATTTATATAAGTGGTAAATAAATTTCTTATAATTTGATTTGCACTATCACTTCCTAAATCTACTGTAATAACTTATTTCACATTTAAATGCACACTTTGTATGCATGTGAGAAAAACTTAATGAATTATCATACCTGCCCTGAATATTTGTAATAATCAAAAGCATTTCATGTCTTGATAGTCCTATATCATGATTTAAAGTAGGATTAATTTCTTGCTTTGCATGTGTGTCCCAACAAAGGATGCACTCATTAAATGGAATTGTTTCCATTTAATCCTCACAATAAATTTGATATTACTGAAGTATTAACAAGTGACAAAAGATGGGAGAGAAAATTTTAATACGATAGTTACCCAGCTACAAAAGGATGTGAAGTCAATTTTACTTACCTTCTGCTTGAATATTGTTCAAATATTGTAAAACTTATATAATAAGACCTCCAGGTGAAACATAGAATGATTTTGCTAATTTAATAATGAATCCCAACAACATAATAACAAGGTTCTGGTGTTTGCTGTATCAGGAAATCACTAACCACATGAAGTTCTCTAGGTCATGGTAAACTCCAATATTTTGACACCACTTCCTGTATGACCCTGTCAGTTTGAGATTGCCCATTTCAATACACAGTGATTTATTTAAGCAAATACTTACCAAGACCAACATTTTCTTTTACCTTAGATATATTTGTTGCTTGTCCCCCAAAGGAGGGTCCTGTATATACGCACCTCTACCATAGCTGCACCTGAGACCAGAAGCCTAAATACATGATCACTACATGCAGTCACTGTCAATGTGTTTGCTAATTCAATTATGAGCTTCTGAATAAGCTTGCCTCTCTGAAGTTTATATATTACTCATCTTAGGGCAGTCTGCTAAATCTCATACATTTTCATTGTCTTTATCTAAAAGTAAGCACCTCTAATG